TACTATACTGAGCGTGTTCCAGAACCGTCGCTGGGATGGCGACTACTTGACCATCAAAAGGCTCTTTGCTGATAACACGCTTGGATCCGTAGTTGAGCTTGAAAGCCGCTTTGACCGTTACCGTACTTTTAAGAAAAAAGATGCTTGGCGCGAGGTCGATAGCTTCCCTGGAAGCGGCGTGCTCTATGATCTGGGTGCCCATCTGTTTGATCAAGTCGTTGACCTGATGGGTGTGCCAGAGTATGTCACAGGCACCGTTCGCAATGAGCGGCAGATCGATGGTGCTCCCGATGATTCATTCCTCGTAGTACTGGACTACCCCTCCAAAAACTTCAAGGCCGTGTGCCGTGCTGCTATGCTAGTACGCGATAAGCCACCTCGCTTTACTGTGCTGGGCACCCGAGGCGCATTCACAAAGTACGGATTGGATGTCCAAGAAGATCAGCTCAAGGAAGGCTTGGTGCCTGGTGATTCGGTGTATGGAAAGGACAAGCAGGAGCAGTATGGAACCCTGGACTCGGAGATCGGTTCAGGCCTGCACGTACGTGGTGCTGTGACCACGCTGGATGGCGATTACCCAGCGTACTATAACAATGTGGCAGATGCTATTCGGGGAGAGGCTCAGCTTATTGTCACACCCGAGCAGGCTGCCGATGTTATTCGCATCATCGAGCTTGCAAAGCAGAGCAGCGTCGAGCGCCGGTCCATTGCGTTTAAGTAGTAGCGAATAATAAACACAGACTCTTTCATAGTGCTTTTTGCCTCACGTGGATAAGGCCCTTAATGCAGCAACATGCTACGCTGCTGCTTGAGACGACAATACGCGAGGCTGTTAGTTATCTTTTCAACGGACCAAGAAAACAGAAGCCCCTTTTCTCATTATCTAGAACGTCTATTTTTTTCCCTTGTTTCCAACCCCTCCCCCCTTACATGCGCTCACTTGCAAAGACAGTCACATCAAAGCTACTCTCCACGACAATGTCCAAAACCAAGCTTGACAAACTCATAGAAACCCGCTACGTCGAAGCCATATCACAAGGTGCACTGCTATTCACCAACTCAACGGTCACCCTACATGAGGAACAAGGCGTGGATTTTGAAGTACGCTATGTGCCAGCGTTAGCTAAAAAGCCCAGCAGCAAACCTCGAGAAAAGCAAATGACCAAGGACTTTGTCAATCCATTTTTACCATACGACCCTAAACTACATGTGTGCAGTGTGGGTGATTCACACGAACTATTATTCAACAAGTACTGCGTTGTTCCGCATCACCTTTTGATAACCACCAAGGAGTTTAGACAACAGGGAGAACCGCTGTCAGAGTCGGATTTTAAGGCTATTTTGGAAACTACAAAAAACTTATCACGTCCACAGATTGTATTCTATAACTCTGGTGAGGAATCGGGTGCCAGTCAACCACATAAACATTTACAGGTGCTACCAATGCCCGATTACTTTGTATATCCTCCAGCAATGGGTCTGTGGATGAGATCAAAGCCTGAGCTCAACCGGGTATGTGTATCTGAGGATCTTCCATTTGCGCATTTTGGTGTCCGGATTGATCCGGATACTATTAGTGCCACTGACTTGACCTTTATGTATTCCATGGCCCTAGATGAGATGACTAGCAGATATTCAAAGGATACTTCGTACAATATGATCTTGACTCCACATGCGCTTATGATTTTTCCTAGAAGGGTCAGTAGTTGGAGCGGAATATCGATAAACTCGCTGGGATTTGCTGGTCTTATTCTATGCAAGACAAAGGATGAGTTGGAGTTACTTAACAAAGTCGGCTTCTTGTCAACCCTGACCAACGTTGGATATCCTTCTTCGACAGCTGAGAAGCTATAGAAACAATAGTATAACATTTGTTGAAAACTCACTCATCTACAATTATAATCAATACAAAAAATGGTTTAACTCAATAAAATCTACTGAGCCCAAATGTATATGTTATTTTATAACATTTTATTCCGCGATAATAAACTCGACATCTAGAAGAAAAAGAAAACATGGCTTAGAAAAGCCCAGGACGAACAAACTGGTTGATCAGTGCCTGTTGCTGAGCGTGCTGAGCGGCAAGGAATCCAGGATCGAGGTTCACAATCATGCCCTGGTTGTTAATCGGAATAAACACGTTGTCATTTCCAGCAAGCGCAGGTCCGTTGTTGTTTGAGATAGAGTTCCAGTTAGGGTCAATCAGGTTGTTATCAGAAACCTCAGTGTTATCGTTGACCTGAGTAAGCGAGTTTCCAACAGGATTCACAACCGACGCTCCCTCCAATGAAACACCAGCATCCAAAGAACCGCTTTGAAGCGCACCATTATTAACAGTCGGGTCGTTTACAGCCGCCGGTGCATTGACGTTACTAACAACAGGCGCCTGACGCTTGAAAACAATACCATGGTCGGTTCCCAAGCTACCCGAGTTGATAACATGGTTCCCATTACCCACTACAGCAGGTCCATCGGTATCCTTAGCCACGTTGAAGTTGGGGTTTTCGAGGATGTTGTCGTGGAAGTTAAAGTTCTCGTTCAAATTGGTGAGCGTGTTACCCATGGGGTTAACGATAACAGCATCGTCAAAAGAAGTGGACGTATCGACGGATCCTTCCTTGAAAGCACCATTATTGACAAGAGGGTTGCTGATTGCAGTGGGTCCATTAACCTGTTTGCTTTCACCCTCAGACTGGCCGACAACCAGCTGTCTAACGTAAAGTGGAGCAGCAGATGCTACGACAGCAGAGAGAAGAATGGCGATTGAAGCAGAACGCATTGTTTTTTTCTTTCTTCTTTATAAAAACCCAGTTAGTATCAATATATGAGCTATCCAAAATAGAAAGGAGAGACGAAAAATGAAAAAAGGGTTTAGAGGTACTTTACTTTACGTATGAGATGGAAAGGGAGGGGGGAACTAGGGAACGTACAAAACGTAAAACAAGAAAAGAAAGTCAGAAGAAATATAAACTGCTGCCGAGCTTTCTTTCAAAGGAAGGAAATTAAAAAAAGGTTGGCGTGTTCTGTTGTAATGAAAACAAAAAAATCGTTTTAGGTGCAGGTGCTTGCTAAACCAAGTCAAATTTATATACTTTAAAAGTAAACTATATTTGTTTGTTATTTCCTTTCCTGGTCACAGATACTTGAATGCATCGGTCTAAATTGCCCGGATATAGACAACAACTAAAAAAAACTTGAATAATGTAAAAAAAACATGACCTTGTATTGTTTAAACTTGACACGCACTGCTTTATAAAGGGGAGTGTGTAACGTACTCTGTGGCAAACGAAAGCGCATACTGCTACATTTTCTATTAAATCCTTCTCTACAAGAAGAAAACGTGAATATTGTGCATTGACTGCCAGAGTAAGCCATGATGTATTACACCTGACAATAACATTTAGGTACAGCAAGTGACTAAATTACTTAAAAAATACAGTAAATATTCGACGCCTCAAAATATCTAGTGTACCTTGCAAAATTATAATATTAGCAAGAATAGCAATGGTTTATAGCTGTACAGACTGCATTAGAATAAACAGTTTGTCTAACCCCCCATTAAACAATATGTAAAAATGCTAAAAAGAGGGAATGTTTGTCTGGGATGGCCTTGTTAAGCAAAATTGGGCAAGGAGGCGCAAGCCATATCCACAATGGTGCAATGACCGCTTGAATCAATGTCATCATCATAGGTACTTTAGAACAATTCTTTTTTCATTGCGATTTGTTGTTGTATAGGCGCGAGGCTGATATGCAAACAGTAATATTGTTTGTTTTAAATTTAATAGGTATGCCGCCAGACTGGTTGTTTTAAAAATGTTCAATAAAGCCAAAGTCATTGTTTGAATAACAATAGGTACGATAGCACAGTGGCTTTTTCAATATGCGCTAATACAAATAATACTGATTTCCGAAACAAAATCCACACTAAGAAAATTAGAAACCGCAACGCCCCAACAAAAAGCGGTCTATTCAAACTAATCAACTCAGCAGCGGATCAGCTGCTCACTATTACTGAAGCGCTGTTATTTCGGACGGTATAGATTATCTTCTCACATATCAATGAACAATATGCAGCAGGAAATATGTTACAAATAAACACAGTTTATTATCACAACGGGCTATTTAATATAGTAGCCTATTAGAAATTTAGAAAGAAAACAAAAAACGACTTCTAGCAGCTTGAACCAAGTGGTAAAAATGTTAAACCATATTTACTTGGGACCCTGTCCAAGATCGTTAGTCTTTTCGTTGACTAGAATGCCGATGGCCTCGGTAATTCCCGACAGGTCCTTGAGGAGGCCACCTAGAGTACCAGCATAGGGAACGTGCTCAACGGGAGCAGGAGCAGCGGCGACAACAGCGACGAGAAGAGCAGCGACGAAAGTGAAACGCATGATGATTTTTAAAAAAATGAAATATGGGAAATGGAAATTAAAGTAACGATTGTACGAATGCTAGAAAGTGATGCAGGTATTGGATAAAGAAAAAACGAGCAAAGTTTTGAAGAACTGTGTTCGAACTGAAGATCTAGCAAGAGAAGACGGAAAAGCGAGTCTATTTATTCGGTTTTTTGTGCTAGCGCTAAGCTGTTTGAACCTGGTTAGTGTTATTAGATTCGCTGCCGAGTTTAAATGTTAAAAGGTGTAAACATTTACTGCACATCAGTGTCCGAGTATAAACAAAATATAGAACCCATCCGTCAACCAAGGGTCACGTATTGTCATAATGTTGGGTACACGCACACGCAAACACAAAACTCATTCAAGGGGCGTAGACCACGAAAAAAAGTAACAACCCTGGATGCAAGGGGAGCAGGGATAAAATTATTGTCGTTATATTGCAATTTACTATTCACCTTACCTGCAAATAAATATATAGAGTGAAATATTTCTCAACTGCCAGAGAAGCAGCGCAAAATAAATTATCTCAACATTTCCACCGCTACTGCCAAGAATCCAAATTGCTTTATTGTCTGCTTTTGGAAATAGGGCAAAAATTAGCACCTCCTGGTTTCGATCCAGGGACCTCAGGCTAATTAGCCATGCGAGATACCTCTGCGCCAAGGTGCTTTTTCAGCAGGAATTTCCAGCTAAGACACGCTTTTTCATGTTTCTTGGTGGGCTTAAGAGGGTTATTTAAATATAGCAGGTGACTTTGTGGTAATTAGATTTTATGTTTTGGTGTTGCACTAATTCTGCAATTGAATTTATGCACGTAAGACGACATACGGTTTGCATACACAATTGCGCATAAGATGATGAGAAAGCGTCGATACAGATATGTGCTTGGCATCGTGTGCACCATGGCATATAGGCCCCAACTGTGGTCGATGTGGAATTGTATGTGTGTGGGCACGGGTTTTAACGGATTCAACGGATTGTGATTATTTCTCGCTGTTGATGACACACCACCATTAGGATATGTGGGTATAAGTTGCGTATATTAATAAAAAAGAGGAGGGTGCTGGGTGTTTGCTTACACAGAAAAAAAGGCTAACCAAGGAACACCCCATTTCTAAGCAAGTGTCTATTTATAATGCCCATGACTTTATGACTGAGCTTTGTTATTTTTTCTGTGCAAGTGGCGAGCCTTGGGAGGTTTGCCCGGTGAGTAGTCATTCCATGCCGTGTCGATGGGGCAAGATGTGGGCTCATCCTCTTCTTTAATCAGCGGACGGAAGTAGGGGCAATCTCGGAGGAAAAGGAAGGAGAGAATGGGCTATTGTAAGCAGAGTGGTGTGCAGAGACGGAAGTTTTTCTTGGCGCAGCTGCACCACTTGGCATTCCATAGATTCTTCCAGCCCCTGCGCAGCACAATCCTCGTGTTGAGGCTGCTTATGTCTTTTCGCCCAGTCCTCAACACTCATGTACCTCGATCATTATGCGCCGAGCTCTATGGGCCATTGTTGGAGAGGCGGACAAAGAAGTGAGACAAAAAGAGGAAGGTGCTCTGATAAATATCGTGAGCGGTTTATACCTCCGCTTTGTCTTTTCCAGACCTTTTGTACTAGAAAACACAGTAGTCCGCTTTGTTTTTCCCTTTTACTCTTTTTTACACTTGATATCCCGCTTCCAATTTAAATATATTATTTTTTCTTCTTCTTTATATATACCCTTAATTATACTCGTTCATTTCAATTAACCTCGACGACAATAAATATATAAAACGCTCTAGAAATACCTGCATAGTTGAAATGATGGAAACAGCTCGGCGCTTTTCTCTGCCCGCAGAAGACGAGGTGGGCGAGCCACCAGCATACACACCGTTTCCACGCCCAGAGGAGCAGTCGATAGATGCCGGCGCAGGTGCACCCATAGTACGCGCCCAGGCACCCCAGCTGGTGGTCAACCCGTCAGACCCACGCAGCCACTTTACACGACAGTACTTTGGCAACTCGCCACCCGTACCACCACCAAGACCCGACGTGTCCTCCGGCCCCTTACCCGTCAATCCCCGGCTACCCCCGCGCCTCAACATGGGCTATGACCAGATGGAAGTCGCACCACACCGCACGCCGCGCTCGCAAATGTCGCTGACACAGTTGAACCACGTAGGGGGCACGCTGCCGCGGTCGACTAGCGTGGCACCCAGAAGCGCGCACGAGGAGAGCGCATTGCACCGCCCAGTGACCACTGGAGTGTTTGCGCACACGCCTCCAGGTCCGGCCGCCAACACAATTAGCTACTCGACCTTGCGTGGGAGCTCGAGCGGATCAAACTGGCGCAACCAGTACGCCCCCGACGGTCTTCTGAGCAGCTGGCCGACGGCAAGGCCGGGCGATGGATATCCCGGCGTCATAGCGCAGCAGACGCCTGCAGTAGTCAGCATGACGTGCCCTGCGTGTCGCAACACCGGGTGGCTGAGCTCGCGCATTCCGTGCTCCTGTCCGATGGGCATTGCAGCCAAAAGCCAGCACTCCTCGCGGCCACTGCACACGGCGGTGCTCAATTTCCTCGAGGACTTTCTGGGGCCTGAGCCCAGTCCCTACCAGCATCACCAGGCGCCATACAATCAGCAGATACACAGCCACAGCAGCCACCATTACCAGCAGCAGCCACAGTACTTTCATACCGCCCATGGGGACTCTGCCATCCCCGCGTACGCATTCTTGATTCCAGGAACTGGCGCCCTCTGTCCCAATTGCGCCGGCCGCTCGTACTTCCGCAAGCCCGAGATGCAGGCGCACTCGGCCACGCGCGAGATAGAGGCCGAGTTTGGCGGCCCACCACCACCATGCACCGTGTGTTGCGACAACGGCCGTCTGCGGTAGCGCCATGCCACAAACACGTGAACCACAAAAGATCTCTTGATGCCAGAACATCACCACATTTCGCGCCCACTACTTTTTGTATTATTTTTCAGCATAAAAAAGGCATAGAAACATCAACGCATGTTGTTTAACAAGAGAAAATGAAAGTAAAAGTAAAAGTAAAAGTAAAAGTGAAATATGAATATGAAAAAGATACTAGAAATAGACACACGCACAGGAGAAGAAGTATAATAAAAACAAACGCTGAGCTGCTTACGCCGGCGCCTGGCGCCTGGCAGTGCCAATTTGGCACGAGTTGACCTTGGTGGCAAACTGCAGCGAGCACAGCGACTCTTGCGTACTGCTTGGGCTGGGGTTGACACACACAAACATGAGCGTCTTTGAGTTCCCGCCCAGCGACTCTTGCAAAAGATGCGTCAGCTTCGAGTTGCGGTACGGCACATGCCTGCTGCCCTTAGCCAGCGCCGCAATGACATCGCCCAAGCTAGCCAATGACTTGTTTATCGCCTGCGTCTCCTTGAGGCGCTCGCCCACCGAGCCAGAGCTCGACAGTCTCTCGGACCCGGCCAGATCGATCAGATTGAGCGTGCCCGATGACACCTCGCCTGTGAGCGAGTTCTTGCCACGCAGGTGCAGCGTGAATACGCTGTGCGACCGCGACGACCGCTCGTTGCAGTTTGTCGCTGCCACCGTGCGATTCTCTGCCGCACGTGCCAGCAGCCAGTGCACGCGCTCAGCGCTATCTACCTTGACGGTCGTCAGATTCTTGACCCGCGTATGGCCCTCGCCGTCCTGGTATATCTCCAGCTTGCCTCCATTGCCAGCAGCCCCATGCTTGTCACCACTGGAGCCGCGCTGCGTCGGCGCTAAAAGATCCTGCAGCGTCTCGTTGTAGATCTCCAGGAACTGGCCCTCCAGCTCGTACTCCCACCCGCGCTCGGCTAGTCGGCTGGTGTTGTCGTAGATCTGCTGCACGGCACGCGGGATGATTCCCAGGATCTCGCGGTTCTCGGCGCTTGCCCGAGCATCCAGAGAGTCGGGGCCCTGCATCGTATGTGTCTTGCCGCTGCCCGTCTGGCCGTACGCAAATATGCACACCGGGTAGCCATCCAGGGCCGACTGGATCAGCTGCGACACCTCATCAAACACAGCGCCCTGCGATGCCTCGGGCTCAAACACCCGGTCAAACTTGAACGGAAACACTTTCGACGTAGCCTTACCAAGCGCATTCTCCGACACCTGCGTCAGCTCTATTTCATTGCGCTCTTCCGATTCGGGAAGCTTGATGGGCAGGGCATCCGCTGCATCTTTCTCCTCGACCGAGAGCGGCCGCACGCGGCAGAACACGCGAATGTTGCCCTTGAGCTCCTGTATTGTGTTGTGCAGCCGCCTCCGCGTACTCTCCTCGACGCGCAGCTTGGCCTCAAGCTCCTCCACCAGCTGGTTGCGCGCAGACAGGGTTTCTTCAAGCTCGGCTATACGGGCCTCGCGCTGGCTGACTGTGTCCTCGAGTTGCTCAACCTTTGCCTTCGCCATGCGGTAGCTGCTCTCCAACTCAAGCTGGGCACTCGCCTGCTTGGATATCGTGTCCTCCAGCCTCACACATTCCTCCCGCTTGCTCTTGAGCCGGCCCTCGGTGGTTTCCAGCTGGTCCTGCAGCTCTGAGACGCTCCTCTTCAGCGCCCTCTGCTCCTCTTGCAGCTGCTCCTCCTGGCGCTTAAACTGCCGCCGCATCTCGGCCATCTCATCATCCTGCTTGTTCCGCTCCTCCCTAAGTGCCTGCTGCCGCTCCTCGACGGCCTTTTGCAGCTTATTAGCTTTTTTCTCGGCCTCCTCCAGCTTGGCACTAAGAATGTTTTTGTCAAACTCGAGCTGCATTACTTGTGTGCTGTTCTGCTCCAGCTCGACACTCAAAAGCTTCTTTGTTTTGCGAGCTGTGCGGTTCTTCTTGATCATATACAGCGAAAACTCTTCCAGATCCTTCAGGCGCCCGTTGATATCGCTTTCATGGCGGTTGTGCAGAGCTGGCGGTGGCCCTAGCTCACTATCATTATCGTCATCGTCGTCGTCGTCATCATTATCACCTTCATCTTCGTCGGCCTTCTTGCCAAGTACGCTGTGTCCAAGTACCTTGTCACTCGGTTTCTGTGACTTGTTGCCGGTGCTCGGAGCCGATTGCTTGCCTGCAAGCGATTTTAGCGCCGAAGGCATATCCAGTCTTCTACGCTTTATTCCGTCGACAGTCGAGGGAGCTGCGCCTCTTCCCGTGCTGGAGATCTTGCTGATATTCACTCGCCCACGCGTAGCCGAGGTCCTGCTCGCGGCCATTCTGCCAGGAGCACCCGCGGTTGCCTTGGGAACCACGGGGCGTCCGGCAGGGGCCATAGACGGCCGCGGCAATCCGATAGCAGACACGGTCATGTCTCTGGGCGCCACAGTGAATCCCTGAGAGGATCTCCGCCCAGCATGAACCGTCTCGACTGCACTAGGCTTTGCTATTCTCGACACCGGCGTCTTTGTTTGCTGCTTGCCGTGGCCCTGACCACGCACTTCGGCAGCCGACGCTGGCCTGACGCCGTTTTCGCCATTTTCTGTGGCCTTTCTTTTGCCATGGGCTGCTTCAATATTGAAAGCAGGAGTCGCGCTGGTTGACTTTGTGAACCCGCCAATCTTGCTGGGCGGCTTGATCATCGACCCAGGTATACGAAGTCCAGTTGTCTACTCGATTTTTTTGATTAAATATGGGGAGAGGCTGTGAAACATTAGTGCACGGTTATCAGTAGAGTGCGTGTACGCTGC